CAAAAGATATTCTGATCGAGACCCTCCGAGATAAATTGAGTAAGTATATATTGACATAAATAATGTCAAAATTAATAATTATGTGAATGGTATATGTAGTATAAATCATTTCAATTCTAATATGTCATTTATTCATACAGAAATGAAACTGATGTTCAAAGCTTAAATGATATTTATTCGATTAGAACTCTTACTCAAGTACTTGAGGTACAAGATTTAGGAAATTGGTTAAGATTGGTGGTTATGGTACACAGAAGAATCAAGATTGTTAATCAAATTTTTGAGGATGCCAATCCAAAAGTAGAACATGGTACGAAAAATATATTGCATTTGCATGTTGCAACAAAGTCACATTTTATAGAAATTTAATGTTCTGTTAATTGATAAAAATTTTCTTGTTTAAATTGACGTGATCCTGTTCTTCGATTATTCTACTTAAATATTGTCCTGCCTACTTTATACAGAGATGAAAGTGAAATTTCCACTATTAGATACTACAATTACCATTTCTATAGATGACGCAGTAACAAGGTTAACTGGAGATCATTGCTTAAAAAAAAAATAGAGAATAGAATTATAGAACTGAGAAAATAAAAAAGATCAATGAAACAAGCTCTACGGAAATAAAATTGCAAGTACATGTGAGTCTGAAAAGAATACAGAAAAACCATTAGTTTCATCAATTCCTCAGTCTAGTAGTCAACCTATATTAATGGTAAAAAGATTTTTATTATTTATTTTTATATAATACGATAATTTCCATAGATTTTTGTTAAAGCACAGATTTAAAAAATACTACTATTTATTAAAATTGTATATATATATATGTATATATATTTATTTATTTATAAAAGGTTTGTTCGCATTGCATGCTTCAATACCCGGTAAAAAATTTGTTATACATTAATATGTGTAAATATGTGTAAACATATATAAATATTCATAAACACGTATGGACATAATCATATATGATATATGTCCATACATATTCAAACATCCCTCTTTCTTTTGTAAATTACTTTTTAATGTAATAGAAATAACAATAGTAATGTGAAAACATAAAAAATAATTAAAGAGATAATTTTCACATTGTTCGAAGAAAACAAGTTTGGAAAATTGTTATACACAATTATGCATAATTTTATTATAATTATATGTAAGTGACTGTTTTATATTTCTTTAAACTTGATTTTTTCTAAAATAGATATTATGAAAATTATCCTTTTAATTATTTTTAACGTTTTCACATTACTATTGTTATTTTTATTACACTAAAAAGTAATTTTACAGAATTATAGCATTCTTCTATTATAAAATTCTTATCAAGTATGTTTTCTATTATTAAAAATTAGTTAAATCGAATTTTTTTTATTTGTTATATCAAATTTATAAATATAATTTTTATTTTATCTCTAACTAGACTTCCGACAGTTTTTGTTAGCTTTATTGGAGATCAATATATATCTGTATTTATAATATGCATTCAACACAATTTGAAACTCCTATTTTTCTGTACATGACATTATGCTTTATATAAATACCAAATCAAGATACAGTACAAAATAAACTATAGGAGGCAGTTTTAGAATTCTCAGGTGATGAAAGAAATATTTCTAAAGTTAATTGACAATAAATCTTATTTAGATAATAGAAAGACTTATAAATATTTCTTATTACAGAATGTGCCAAACAAAAGTGAAAATTAGACACAAAATGAACATGTAAAACCGGTAATTTCATCTATACTATCAGGTCAATTGCAATACCTGGTTCGTCAGCTCAGTCTAACTCATCTCGGCAAAGTTCGAGAGACAGTTTAAAAAGTTTAGAAGAAGGTGAAGGTATTTATTATATTATAGTATTTATTATTTATGATTTTCCAAAAATATAAATCTCTAAAAAATGGAAATCTTCCATAGATATGCGACGTTCTAGAAATCCAATACGCCGATCGAATTTTAGTCCCGAAATGAGTGCTAATTGGAAAAATCCATTTTTAAATAAAAAAAATTAAATGTGCAATAACAAATTGATAAAGATTTTATTTACTCAGAATTAGAGATTAAATTGGATGCAGAATTGAAGAAATTTCAAAAAATATTTATACAAAAAGACATGAAGTATATATTTTTAATCAAAAACATATACATATTCATTATTATTGTTTATGATAATTGGTAATAGAAAAAGGATAAAAATAAATTCAGAAAATTGCGCATTCTGAAGAAGTGCTTGTATTCAAATAAATTATTAAGCTCAAGCATCATGTTTTCTTATTGATTTTTATTATAAAGAAAAATTATTTTTAATAACTTTATTTTTAATATTTATTTGCGTAATTTATAGAGTTAATTGTGGTATAGTGTGAAGCTATACCAGAAGAAATATTCGACATGGGAATAACTCTTCTTCAGAAAATACTGGAGATATTATCCAACTACATTATGTTTGCAACGTTCTTATCCAGGAATAACACAAACTATTTCAACAACAGTAATACTGTATCACCATCTACAGCTGTACAGGTTAAAATAATGTACTAATGAAATATTTAAAAAATAGCAAAATATACTTCTTTGTATAATGTAAAAATGATTTTAGGCATCAAGAAATTATTTAGGAATACAAACCGTCCTGCACAGATACAATTATCTATCATAAAAGCGCTGCAATCACCTACTCAAATTCTCGATTATCTAGTCTTGATCATAATCAGAAGTAAACTCCAATTGTTGAAAGTAAATCATCTATTGGGCGGATCCATATTGTAGATAAGGGCTGCGTTTTAGATTTTAATTTATTTATTTAAAATTGCATTTAGGATAGAGTCTTTAATGAGAAATATAAATATTTTTGCGATATTTTAAGTCATAAGTTTCTGAGCAGTTAATTTTTGTCATTTGCATTATTTAAGATTACATAAAAAGATTGTATATAAAATATATATTTAGTAAGTAAAAATATATATACAAGTATTTTATTTCTTAGTAAAATATTTTCTTATAGACTATCTTTTTATACAATAAATAATGCAAATAATATAAATAAATAATATAAATAATATAAATTAACTGCTCAGAAATTTATTATTTTGAATATTTTATTTATATTTGTATATACAGGTGCGCATAGATTCGAATATAGCGCTAGCTCCCCACCTCTTGTCACGTGATCCACTTTAGTTCGCTACTTTCGGATTCAGACCATGGTGGCGCTGAAAATTGTCTTCCTCTGCCTTTGTGTGTGTCACGCCGCCGCTTGCCGCCGTATCCCCTTCACATGACATAAACAAGTCTAATCTGGCAACACTGAAGCCGAAATCGTTGCTATAGCAACAATATGTGACGTGAACTGTGAGGCCGAAGGCGATGTCACGCGCTCACCATGTGGTGACATCTGAAATCGTCAGCGCAATGTACTTGCGCTAACGGCCATGATGGAAGGATTATATGATGTGTTAGTAATATGG